TTCATATCATTCACTTAGATAGCTAAATCATCTGAATTCCTATAGTTGCTAGTTGCGTCACTACTTGTTGTCAATGGTAAGACCTCTTTCCTTTTTTTTTCTTTTTTCTTTCTGATATAAACTGTAAATTTTAAAAGAAAATTTAAACCGATACTAGTTATTATTACTGGTTTTATTTTTTATTACAGTTTTATACAATTTATTAAAAGTTGAGAAATTCGTAAAATATGAAATTAATGGCAATTCGGTACATTGATGTAATAATAATTAAGAAAAAAATCCTCTTCCATTAGTTGTAAAATATTATCCAACAAATATCTGAAAAAAATAATTTTGTTTCGAACTTACATTTGAAGAACTTACGATTGTTAATTTTATTGTTTACTTTATTTCATCGATGATTTTGTTAATGTTATTGAGACATTAACGACACTGTCTACGTTTTCAATATTAATTACTTCAATATTAATTCAATATAATAAAAATATATATATATATATATATATATATTCGGTTAGTTTGTATTAAATCTCACTTATTAATAATACATGAGAAACTACAAAAATTTTAATATCGTCATTTAATACGCAAAAATGAAATACAGCATAAAACAATTAATTATCATTTGATATATACAGTCTAAGAGTTTGTATAATAATTAATGATTATCGTAATGAATAATGATATCTTTACTTGGAATGAAATGTTCACGAAGATTTCTTATCAGTTACAGAATCTAAAAAAGAATAATATTTCGAAAGGAAATTACGTTCGGTATTATTATTTTTCTATTACTCTAACTTTCAAATATTTATTTTTCCAATAGGCTAGAATTTAATCAATTTTAATTGTCTTTTACACTGTTTTTTAATCATTCTAATTGGCTATATATATATATATATATATATATATGTATATGTATATGTATATATTAATGCACATCACTTTAGATTGATAAATAGTGAATTAGTAATACAGTTGTAGTTATTAAAAGTGCATTGTAGCATATTTTACAAGATTGTACGTGTTTTACAAGATTGAAAAGTGCGAATAATGTTTATTCAAAGGCTATGGATACATTGGGCAACTGGAGAAGATTTCCCAATTGTTATTATAATAATGCTTTCGTAAATTTTGATGAAATTAAAATTATTTTTTTAAAAATTAATATTATAGTTGTGAATGAAATTAAATGCAAGAGTAAAATTGTCAACCAAAATAAGTATTCAGTTAAATACTCATGTAAATCAAATTTTAATAAATAACAACGTTCTAATGATTATATATCGTTAAAAAATATAAAAGCCTAAATAAAAAATTATTTTTCTCTAAGTTGTGGAGTTAAATATTAAATAATCAAATAAAATAATTTAGTTAATAAAATAAGAAAATATTGGATAATGTAAATAATAATAATGATGCACTTATTATTTGTTTCCAAATTTTTTTATTCTCATATTTATTATGAATATAAATAAAATAAAATGAAAATACAATGCATAAGCCCTATATTTATTATATAAAACATTCTATTATAAAATTAATTATTATTATTATTATATATATATATAAATTTCATAGAAAGTTGTCAGTAGTTTAAGTACTCATTAAAAAATGCTATTTAGCATAGCGACAATAATATTTGATTTTCGTTTATGTTCGTGTAGTTTTTCTTAATCGATCCTCATTTCAGTCTCGAATTAACACTGCTTTTTTTTGTTGGTTTTTTTGTTTTTTTTTTTTGTTTTTTTGTTTTTTTTTGTTTTTTTTGTTTCATATTACCTTGTTTTACCAAGTGCACTCTGACTCTTAAGAGATTAAAATATGATAAATTTGATATTCACTATCAGAGTATACTAAGTTTGATTTTAAACATCTGCAGACATAATAAACACAAATGTTTTTAGTAAACGTAATATGATAACTTCAAACTTTGATCGTAAGTAATGTTTTTGATTATTTTCCCTATTCAATTATTATCTGACACCATAACTTGTAGTGTATTGTTAATAATTATTTTTGTCAACTGTAAATAATCTTTTTAATAATATATTATGAAGGAGTGTCCTGGCTAAAATGACTTTAGTATTACCAAGAAATATTTAAAAATTGTATTATATAGTTTAGAATCTATAATAATTAGCTTTAAGGCTTCTATATTCTGTTTATTAATGTGAATAATATATTGAAAAATATTTTGAACGAATAGATCAATAATACATTTTCAATAATAAAAATATATTAATTAAAAATTTGCAATAATCTCGAATAAAATAGAAAAATTAGTAATAATATTTAACAATAAATAAATCTAATTCTTTTTTTATTAAGAAAAAACGTTAATGATTAGCATTATTTTTTTTTTTTTTTTCTTTTAAATTACGTGAAATTGTCATTTCTTAATTAATATTAATTTTTAATATATTGCCTTGCGTGTTTTATTATGATATGTTAATAATAATTAGTAAATATTATACTTTAATATTATTTATGTAAAGAAAGGTAGACTATAATAATTTAGTGGAGTTAAAATAATTTATTAGATTGTTACGTATAATTTTATTAATTAGATATCTTGTTTTGCAATTATAAATTTGTTATTTATAGCAAATTCCTATTTAATAAAATAATTATATAGTTTATTAAATTGTTTATAAAAATTGAGAAATTATATTTTGAAAAAACATTCATAATAAATTTTCGTTGAAAACATATTTTTTCCTTTAATGTTTCAATTATTTTACCAATAAAAAGTACATTTTTCTAATATATAGGAAATAGGATATTAAAAACCTTTTAGCAAATAGAAAGGGCATTGCTTAAAAATATATTATTTTTATAAAAAAGTTTTAATCATCTAATGTTCGAGTTTCAAATAATTCTTTTAGAGTTTTTATTTCATTCTTTATGTCAATTATGAATATTTATATTATATATGATGAAAAAAAAATTTTTAAAAACAACTGTCAATTACAGCCAAGTAATTCCAAATATCAAATAATCGGATAGAACTTTATTAAGTTCTATTAAAATTACTTAAAGCTTTAATTTTCGAGTAAATAATATCTACATAACAATGTTGAATTAGTGAAAATTCATCGTACACATTGAGTCTCAAAATTTTTACGAACCATCTATACAATAATCAAATTTTTATATTATCAACCCAAATAAATATGTAGTATGCATTATTTATTCATTTTTAATACAAACACGAGCATATTGTTAAGTAATTAGTAACTGCGCATACAAATAATCAAACAATTATATTAACTAATATATTATTATAGTGAGTAAAATATATGCAAACGTCTAATACATTTTTTTTTTTTTTTTTATACTATAATAGGCTAATTTGATTAAAATCAACAAAATTACAAATACGCATAATTAATTACACGTACATTTACAGGCAGGTGATAAAGTAAAAGTGATTGAATTAACAATCTTGGACATTGAAAATAAGTACATCGGATAAATTCAATTTTCATTAGATGAATTATAATAATTAAATATTTAGTCCCAATTATAGATATTGGGATTACAATGAATTTTCCAATTAAGAATTATATGAATAAAAATCTCTATGTACCACTTTTACTAAATTTAAATATATCAGTCTAGATATATTTATGTTACAATAAAAGACTTATTATAAAGTGACTTTTTCGTAATTTTTGCGACGCATTTAACAATCCAATTCTTTAAAAACCTAATTTGTATATATTAAATAAACATCCTGAACAATAGAAAATAGTAATAATATTATCTATATATATAATAATTAAATAACTATAATAATTATATACATATGGTAAATATAATAATAATAATAAATATAATAATAATAATAATAAGAAGAAGAAGAAGAAAAAGAGGAAAACTATAATTATAATATATATAAGAAGTAAATTATATATATATATATATATATATATATATATATAATATTATAATATAATTATTATAATTATATTTTTCTTCTTTTTCTTCTTATTATTATTATTATATTTATTATATATATATATATATATATATATATATTTATTTTTTTTTATTTTATTAATATACATCTATACGGATTTTAATAAAAACTTTGATAATTGAATTAATGAAAAAAAAATTTCTTATTTGCAATTTTAAAGAGATTGGAAAGTAATTGATTATATAATTGAATAGGAGAATCATTCCACAATCGCTACAATTCCTAGCGAACGATGCAAGGTTGAAATTTTTATTGGGAAATCACTTATTAAGTCTTTCATTAAATGAAAATGCAATGGATTTCCAAACGGTGCATCTAACTCAAAATTCGGATTAAACTAAAATTTTTAAATAACGATCACTTATTTTCTTAAAATATTAATCTTATTTTTCATTAAAATAATAGAATAAACTAATTGTATTAAATTCTACAATAGCATTAAGTAATTTCAAGCCAATGACTTAAAATAAAGCGAATACCGTAATAAGAGTCAAAAAATAACTTTAATACTCTTCAAAAATAAAGTATGAACTAATACAAAATCATGTTGTTCGATAAATAAAATTTGCTCACTTTCTGATGACTTCCTTCCGTTCCTGAAACAAGATTATTTTGCATTTATAAAATCATAGTTTTTTAATATCGAAACAAAACAAAACAAAAAACAAAACAACAAATATATATATATATATATATATATATATACAGAGATATGATTAATGAAATATAAAAATAATAATATTAATATTAATATTAATATTAATTAGGACATTAAAACTAATAACTTACTTTAATATTTGATTTCAGCATTCTTTTAGATACGGTAGTAGCGTTACTTTGTTTTCCTTTTAAATTTGGTGCAGATTTAGTTTGCTCTATACTCTGCTTTCTATCAGCAGATTTCTTATTTATCTAAATAGAATTTCATAAATGTATTTTACAATACGTCAATACTATTATTAATAAATAAAATCAAATAAAACAAAATAAAAAAATTGATTAATTTCTTTTACTTTTATCTTTTCCATGTTTTCATAGCTTGATTTTAAAATAGTAGGTTTTTCTATAAAAGTTAACGAAGATTTTTAAATGTTGTATTAATAATAAAATAAATATTGAAGATAAATATTACGTAAGAGTCTGCAATACGAGCCAATGTTATCCTTTGGTAAAATCGATTTACGAGGTTTCAATTTATCACCCTTTGGTCTTTGAATATTGCTTATTCCAATATCACTTATCTATTTTTTATTTATTAATAATAAGTAAATATATCACAATATTAAATATTACAAACAAAATAGTTTATCTACAAGTCGATACGAACCGTATTATGCAATTGTTTATTTCGCCCGTGTTTTTGTTTTCTTTCATTTGCTATATTAACAGTTGTATTTATATTAATATAAAAATTAAAAATTAATTATAATAATAAGAGTGATATTTATCAATGATATGCGTTAATTACGATTTAAGTTATCAAATTCTGAATTTAGCATCCAAGTCCAGTCAGCACCGCCACGTAAACGTGTTAAATATTCCTCTAAATCAAACATTTAAATTAAAAAATATTTTAAATAATAATTGGAATTTCGTAGCCGTTTATGTGTTTTACCTGTTTCTATTTTCTTCTGAAATGAAAATGTCAAATAAATAAAGAATTTAGTAAAATTGGCAATTAAATTTATGATAAAGGAACTGAGAAAAATTATTTATACGATATCTATAATATGTAATTCCTTAAGTATTTAATTTAATATAATTTAATGTTTAAATAACGTTAAACGAATTGCCTGGAGATTTTTTTTGTTTGTTTGCTTGTTTTTTTTTTTTTTTTTTTTTTTTTTTAAATAAAATTGTGAATGCATATCAACGAATTATACATTAATAGAAGCATTTTAAATTATAATTTCTTCTCAGTATATATTTTCAAAGCTTACGCACTTGATCGGTATTTTGTACAATTTTCTTCGTATCATCGGATTCGGTAGTGTTCAAAGGTGTGTTACGAGTACAATCAAATTCCTTTGCTGGTAAACATGAAATTCCAATATTGTCTTGTGGTACTGTCAACGTTTTCCTTCGAGAAAGTGACTGATCTTTTTCTAGATCATTTTCTTTGAATAGAATAACGAGTTGAAGTGGTAAAGAGAATGAGAAATTAGAGAACGCATGTTTTCGTTAGATAGTTTGAGATTTTCTTAATCCTTTGGCATTTCGAATATATTTGAAAACACGAGATTGTTCTTAAGGTGCGTATTATTATATATACACCTTAACGTACGCATTATACATGAATATTAAGACCAATAATTGATTTTTTTTTTTTTTTTTTTTTTTTTTTTTTTTTTTAAACAACGATTTAGAAATGAACTAACTGTCAGGTAAAATAATGAAAGCTAAAATTGTTTTTTAAATACAATAAGAGTGAAGCTCCAAGCGACTGGTAGGCTTGCTTTTAAATTGATAACATTTCGTTGAATAAAAGTAATAATATCTATATTGTTGTAATTATCAGGATTATCAGATATGAATTTTTTAGGCAACGTAAAAATAAAACCGAAATTTGATCCGAAAATAATAATTAAAATGCTATTATTGCATAGTTTCATTTTATGTATAATAACAACGTTCAGTCGCCGATTGGTTAATTACAAATGATTAAAGCATATTGGAATAAAGAGCAACACCTTGAAATATGCAGGAAAGGCCGAGGCTATCCTTTGGTTGACAACTACCAGGTCGTCGACGATGAATACGTAGTGTACCGTCAAGTTTGTCGGTTGGTTTCACATCCTTCATGGTCGGGATTAAAGATCAACCGACTTCGTCACCGTCGTGGTGATGCTGGGAGGATCTTCTATTGCCTAATTCTAATTGAATTCCGACTTTCACGATGATGGTGATGGCGATGAAGCGTTTGAGACGAATTGAAGAAGTGACGGATGATAAAGACCGTCTTTTTTTTTGTCGACTTGTCGATGAGAAAATTCAGAGAGGTTGAGACGCAGTGGCTCGATGCGATTATTATCATCCATTAATCCAAATTATTCTTATTACTAAGCTATTATTTGTAATTATATCCGGCGTTTTATTGTTATTTAAATAAGCTCAATTATTAAACAAATATAAGATTGAATTGATAAAACTAATATGAAACTCTGTATATAGAGAGAGAAGAGATATTCTTTTTCTCACTTTTTCTGTTGCACCCTAATTTGTCTGGATGATCGTTCGTGATTGCGGAATAAATAATAATTTCGGATTTTAGATCACATAATAATCACAGAACTTGTTAATGATACAAAAATCAGATTTCTTTAATGTAAAGTGTAGGTTATATAATATTGGCGGGAGCGAGGAATGAATTTTGCCTCCCATCACTAAATTTAAAACTATATACGATCTAATCGTATCAACCACATTCGCTTATGTCTAAATTATAATATTTTTAATCCAGACGTTTAGAAGCATCATAAAATATAATATAATTTTAACATAAGACAGTGATATAAAATTAGATATAATAAAGAATGAAAGAATAACGAAGCAAGCATAATAATTCTCTAATATTAATAAATGTATAAATATTCTGAGGCGACGAAATATATTTTAATCGGAAGTGGACTTCATTAATGATTAATCACCGTCAAGTAAATTTTAATACAACGTAGTCAGTAATTACTCTTAAATACACTTTTTCTCTTTAATGAAAATTATTTTGATATTTTTTTTTTTAATATGCTTTTGACTATGAAAAATAAAAAATGTTCTTCCCAAGCGATTTTCAATAATTTTTATCAGCTACATGGACATTATATTTTTTCAAAATTCTATAAAAGCCTAATAGCACGCGATAATGTTGTTTAGCTCGTTGAGCGAGCTATTTAAAGAAATTGACTAATGATACTATGGAAGCACTATAGAATAATAATAAGTAGACGTTGCCTCGATTATTGTTCGAAGAAAAACAAAACAAAAATCATCCGTACGTTGTAATATAAGCGATAGATAGATGATAAACAATAATTATATTGTAAAACAAAAAAAAAAAATCAGAGAACGTCAGTTTCCAATTATTCATTACTCGCATTACCATTCTTTAGTATGACGATCGAAGATGAGAAGTAAATAAATAATAGCATGAAATGTCACCAACCCCTACGGTATTTAAATTATAGCATTAAAAAAAAAAAAAAAAAAAAAAAAAAAAAATAAATAAAAAAAAAAAAAAAAAAAAAAAAAAAAAACTTCAGCGCACTCGGTTTTTTTTTTCGATTCTACTCTAGATAAAATAATTTTTCCTCTTCTTTTTTATCTTTTGAAAAATCATATCAATATTTCATATGTTATACAAATCAACGTAATCAAGTGCATAAGGTATAAACCTTAGATGAAATATAATTTTTACAACAAAAAAAAAAAAAAATAAATAAAAAAAAAAAATCTAAAAACTGTTACATAAGCGTAATATTATATGCTTGTAGTGGCATGACGAGTCAATTGAAATAATCACGCAATACGATAATCCGGCGATTCGTGTACAATATTCGCGCAAATATTTTTTCTTTTAACGCTTTAAACTCGCCTAATAATATAATCGAAGGACCAATTTTATTGTCCAAATATTGTCAAGGGCCTTAATAAAGAAATTACGTATGATTGAAGCCACGCGCAGAATTCCACGTAAATGAGCGGAGAAAGCCATTACCATAACCTCTATAGATTTAAAATCCAGGAATCGTCGTGCGGTCAATAATAAGTTGGAGGATCGCGTTGTTGCTGGAAGTAAGAGAGAAATAATAAATATTGCGGCTCGTTGGCCCTTATTCGCATTAGCTTAACGGACGAACTAGCGGACGAAGACGAGTAACGTAAACGCAGCGGAGAGAGAAACGCCCGCCACTCGTCGGCGCCGTAAGTGTGCAACTAAGTGCGTGTACGGAAGGTAGGCGCGAGTGAGGATAGGAAAATTGGTGAAGAGTGTCATCGGGGCGGGAAGCGTGAGTCGATGAATAAGAGTTCGCGTATTATTGGCATTGGGTACGGTTGGGAGCGGAGGTGCGTGCGCTCTTCAATTTTTGCTCGTCGGGCCGGGCCTCGTCGAGTGTCGAACGTCGTGTGCAAGCGTGCGGGCCGCGAGAATTTATTATTTGATTATTTTACCGGGCGGGCGGCGGAGGTGGCTGCGGTCGTGAGGGGATGATGAGGATGAGCGGGGATTAGGAGGGCGCGTGTGTGTACCAATTTGTTCATAACTCGTCGACGGGGAGGGCTGGCGACTTGTCGCGATAAGCGAGATTTTCATGAGCCCTCGTTGCGAGCTCGTGATTAAACGGGAATCCGCGTTTTCCCTGTTGAAGATGCGCAGTGAGTGCTGCTGTGGCTACGGTATAGTTTGTAGCCGACGTTTGGTCGTAGTTTGGTATTGGTGAGGTGCAGTTTTTAGACTCTCGGGTGTGGAAGAGGAAGCCGTGAGAAATGAACATAATGGTAGGTTGGATTTTCTTCCCCCTTTTTCCATCGCAATCAGCCCCACCCACTGACGATTACAATTATATATCTACGAGGTTGGAGGTCTTTGAGCTAATGCATGTGATCGCCTCTCCTTCTCAATTGGCTCTCGTCCAATTGGCAACCAATTTTACTTGCATATTTTTTGCTGGAGTTGCTCAATATTTGTAAATTACTTTCGGCCAGTTAATCAATTGCCATGTAATGCTTTTGCAGGGGATCATCATTGCCATGTGGCGAGGCTTTATAGACAGTTTACGGGGGGCTGTGGTATTGTTCTCCATGGATAAGCAGATCAACGAGAAGTTGAAAAAGTCACCTTTAAAGGCTGACTCTCGTCGAAGAGAGAGTCCGATGGGTCATAGTCAACCTAAGAATCCCAAGCATCATAGGTGAGCCATGGGATTATAAGAAGATTGTAGCGCTGTATTTAAATTCTTTATAATTCTCTATAAATTTCTTTCAAATTCGAGTACAAGACTTTCGCTTAATTAAGCGATACTATGTCAATATAATTCTTATATTTGTTATATAACTGCTCGCAATAATGAAATATGTAACGATTGCGCTGTGCTTTTAAAGCAGTTTAAACGGTTATTAAAAGCTTTGGGCTCTAACTCGACGTTTCTTATCAACAGATTTAATTAAATACTCTTATAAAAATAAATGGAATTTTGTAATTTTTTTTAGAGAATCGAAAGTCTTAAAAAGAACGATTCAATGCTGCGCTTTGAACGGAGGTGTTTGTTGGACTAGTATAATTATTTTTGAATATGGATTATTGCCATTGTTAAAGTATTTGTTAAGCATAATATTTGGACAATCACCAGGTATGGGAATGACGGTGTGGTCATGGACAAAACCATTCCTAACGATTACTTTTAGCACGATGTGGGTGCTTCCGCTTTTTCTACTGAGTAGAATCGTCAATAGCTTATGGTTTCAAGTAAGTATTATTTCTTATTGGGACTTGTTGAGCAATTTTTGTCAAGATTTTTCAAGAATAAATATTACTCGGTTTGCATTAACAGACAGCAGCGGAACATTCATACTTTCGATCAATTTTTTTTTGTTTAAAAATAATAACAATAATTTCCAATTAAAACAATATCGATTTTATACGGATTGTTTATGAAACATTATAAAACCGCTGCTAATTAATGAATAGTTATATTTATTTGATGATATAGTGAAGAAGTAATTTTTTTATGTATCAATTGTGTTTTTTAGGATATAGCGGATAGTGCATATAGATATCGCCAAGGAAGGCCTATGCTTTTGTCAAGCGTCAGTAAACTTATTGCCGATATGTTGTTTAGTGTATTGGTACAAGCTTTGTTTTTAGGACAGGGAGTTCTAGTTTCTAAAATGCCATTGCCACCCATTGGCGATGTTCTTGCACTTGTTCATATGTGCCTTCTTTATGCCCTGTATGCCTTTGAGTACAAATGGTTCAATATGGGTTGGGAATTGCATAGACGACTTACATTTATCGAATGCAATTGGCCTTATTTTGTTGGATTTGGTTTGCCCCTTGCGTTATCCACTCAGTTAGCAAACTCGTATGTTATAAGGTAAGACCCTAATAACAAAATAATAACATTTAGAATAAACTACTTGTAATTTAATATCCTATATTTCATATTCATATTTTTTTTTTTATTTCATATCTATTAGCTATGGAAATTAAATGAAATTTTTTTGTCACGCGTTTACTACATTTTCTTGTCTTATTAAATCAATCTTTGCTCTATACACTGGAAATTCTTAATTCATGATAGGTTAATATTTTACATGATGATTATTATTATTATTATTTATCGATGAATGTCCAGAAATAAATATATATGTAGATGCGTATATATGTTGTATTCTGTTTTTTAGTGGCTGTGTGTTCTCCATACTTTTTCCATTATTTATTGTTAGTGGAAATGAAGCCGAACCCGTTACGGACGTTTGGTATATAAAAATTACTTTTTAAAAATTTTCTTTCATCCCTATATTATTTATTTATACTAAATTCTATATGCACATTTTTAGCGATTGTCCATTAAAGCTATTTTCACCAGTGGTTGCAATAGCCAATACTTTATTCAATAAAACAATTGGTCCTGCAAAAAGACGGTGACAAAAGAACAGTTTAAAAAATTTATCGCACAAAAACATTGACAATTAAGTTATTTGATTTGTAGAAAATCGAATTAAAATTCCGGGAGTTTATCGAATTTTATTATGTAAGCGTGGCAATTTATCTTTAAAAAATGCTCCACGATACAATGATCGAGCTCAATGACATTTTGTTCATATTAAACACTTAAGGGCAATGCGAATACGTAATAATAGACAGTTTTAATATGGCTTATATAATGGCTTTGCCTATTGTTTGATAACTAGCACTACCACCGAGTGCATTATAAAAATGATTTCCTATGTATTCATAGGTATTTGTTGACAATTTCAGCATATTAAATAGCATCATTATGCATTGCGATGTTGTGTCCTAGTAATTTTATAGGAACAATTGTAATTTATAAAGTTATTAGTATAATTATACATCTTTTATTTTCAATAAACATATTTACTATAAATTTATTAATCGATTATTAATTATATTGGTAAATGTAATCAATTTTTTGTTTTTAAAATTTTGTCTTTCAAAGCGAATAGCGACCATTACCTCATGACTATTTCAACTAGTCAATCAATGGTTAAGTTAGTTTATATCGAGATTTCTCGGTAATTGTAGTTTTAGTCCGAATTCTTAAAAAATCTTCCCCTTTAATGCAAGATGATGATGGAAGCGAATGTAGATCGTTTAGATGAATGTGAAATTTAATTAATTACAATTGACAATTATATTAGGGATAAATGCCGGTTTATGAAGGTACTAACAATGTACAATTGCAAACGTGTTATGTAATGATTTTGTTAGAAACCTTTTTGTTAAAATATTATATTTTGTAATCTTAAGATTAATTTTTTTTGTATTTATGTTGAAAGAATGGAAATCATGGTTTATGGCATAATAAATTTTTGTACATATATAATGAACTTGTAAATTAAAAAATGTTATCATTAGCTGATAAATATGGAAAAGTTCCACAACAATGATGATGAATGTCTCATGCCTTACTTTTTTATGTGAGAATACAATTAAGAAATAGTACTGGAAATATGTGATAGAAACGTTTAATTAGTTCGTAAAAAATGACTGTTTGTAGATAAATTCTTAATTAAATAACATTTACATTTTTATTTTACACGTAAAAATTGTAATTATTTATAAGCTTTGTAAGAATTAATATGTCATATTATGAAATATTTCTTAAATAAACTTGATTAATTGTAAATATATTGAAAGATAAATAAATACTATTATAATATAATATTAAATGCTTTATATAATGTACATTTCATATAAAAATTGTGTATCCTTTTATTTTTCCCTTTACTTTATTTATTATTATAATTAAAATAGATTATTATTTATTTGAGCGGATAATATTTTACTCCACGATTACGAAAGCAGTTCTTGAAAATTCAAAAGTTTATGATTTGTCGATTCCTGCTTAATTGAATACGAAGAAGAAAGAGCATAATGTCTATGCAATGCTGAAAAACCAAGTCCTGGATCATTTTCTTCTTCGGTAATTGGACTAGTGTCTCGGTCTGTAGAATGCTTACTAATCTAATAATACATATTAATATATTAATGTGAATTACAGTAAAAATTTGCAAATTTCAAACAAATTATTTAGAAAAATCATGCACTATAAAATACCTCGAATTTTTGTGGTTTATAAATAGAAAGTTTACGAGTTCCAGGAGAACTTTGTATGAGATTTTGTATAGTCGGATGAGATATTCCAAAGAAATCTGCACCCTTTGGAATGATAGAGCTCAAACTAGAAGATATAGCCGTGAGTAAGCGCGAATGACATTCGTCGGGACTTAATCCGCTCAATGGTTGGTCAAGTTCGGTATCCGAGACTATTTCAAACCTTGTTAAAATACAAACTTTAATGATACATGAAATTAAAGGAATATTACTTTTAAATAAATAATGAAATGATTACTAATTGTCTATAGTGTAATAATTATCATGTAATAATTTTAACATTAATAAAGTGATTTATTAAATTACCGTGGCTTGGTTCCACCATCAAAAATCTTACAGGTGTACAAACTTTTCATTCGCGCATCTTTCAGACTGGCATAAACTCTGGTACTACAATAGCCCACGGGATATATAAGATCTTCCGTATGATAAGCGACTCTATCAGCGACTACATCACCAAGAGAATAGACTGTCAAGTCTCCCAATGATATTGGAAATATAGGCCTCCCATGAATGTCCAACGGTATTAGTTGTACTACTTTGCGAGCAGTTTTTGTACAGCGTTTTGGCTTGGCTTTATTATCTAACAAACACACATATTTAATTGCTCGATTATTAATTATAATATTTAATCGATTCGATAAAATAATACATAACGTGTACCATGTATTTCAACGCTGTTCCGTTTTTTAATATTTTTCTTAGGAGTGAACATATCAGAATTTTGTACCGGTGAGCCAGTGATACCCATTTGAGATTTTGCTAAAAATGTTGCCGGATCTATTTCTCCTTGTAATTGGCATAGTTTTTTCAGAAGCATAAGTCTTTCATCTTTGACGATAATCAGATTCTCTTGCATTTGTGCAACTTGATCACAGAGCGCTGCATTTTCCTAAATATTAAAAGTCAAAGATAACGAAAATTTCTTTCTATCACTAATAATACATTTAAACAACATACAACAACTGTGTTTTTAATTAATTTCTTTAATTTATTGTATTTCTTGCGGTATTTGAGGTTTTGTTGCAATTCCTTGTTGTTATAAGCTTCGCTATAATACGTATTACCGTAAGAATTCGACATTTTAATTATTTTCTATAAAATAGTTTCCATAATATTATTGCATTCCATAATACGTTATTCATAAGTATTTAAATATAAACAAGCTTGGAGGTTAAGTTGTACATTTTTCGAAAACTGTTGGTAAAGTCAGAGCTGATACGGCACTTTTCTATGTAGACTGTAGTGTCCTCTGTAGATCAAAACTGGCAACTCTGGTTACTCTCTCTCTCTCTCTCTCTCTCTCTCTCTCTCTCTCCCTCTCTCTCTCTCCATCTCTCTCTCCCTCTCCCTCTCCCTCTCCCTCTCCCTCTCCCTCTCTCTGCACATGTGCGGGGCATAAGTATTAATTAAACTAATCTGACTATTTGGATTATCGTGTTACTTACAATACTCAACGTTCTATAAATGAGGTTTTAATAATAATCAAAGTTGCCGTAATTACGTGCTTTCTTTTTCACCATGGAAGAGTATTATCAAACTGTTATCAATCTATAACTCTAGATAAATGTATTTTTGTAGTTTTTAAAAATCAATTTCATCGGTGATTCAATGAAAAGTATGACCTCAAACATTTTTCTAATAATTTGTAAAATTGACAAATATTATGGAATGAATTTCTGTCTATAAAATATAAAATATATTTTAAATATGTTTGTATGGAATATGTATATAATCTATTTATTTTCTTTTAAGCTGCCTAAAGCTCGTTTTTATGCAGATTTTGTATAATTAACATTATGCCTAAGTATTGCTTCGGACTTATATTCTCCAGCCGAATTGAGCTACATAATTAACAATAAATTAATTAAGACATAAATTTATGTTAAAAATTATTGATACTAAAATTAGTAATTTATTTCCATGTATAATAATACCGTTTCAAATAAGATAAGATTAGGTGAAAAATTCAATTAATTGGCAAATAAAAATGATCGGACGTTACATTAAAATTTGTTTTGAAAATCTCATCGGTAAAGTTTAATCGTTATTTCTTGGGAATCGCAAGAGTAATAATTTACAATAGGAAATATTCATTCCTAAATTGTGAAAATAACAATCGTTAGCGTAACTATTCTAACTAGATTAAACCCCAAGCCAAAACATTGCTATTATAACAAAGAAACTGATCTAGCAAGATAATTAACAATAAATTAATATTGAAATTTCAGCACTATTTAAGTAATTCATGTCATTGTTATTTTTACTTGATAATTAAGAAATTTTATTCATATATATATATATATATATATATATATATATATATATATATATATATAGAATGCGTCAAACTCTTGCAGCGCTCATACGAAACGATAAGTAGTTTCGAGGAAATTTCAGAATGTCTCAGATGTTGAAAATCTTATCGACAGCTCGAGTAACAAACAGGCATCTTTGTCGTTCACAATTGTGTTAAGTCAGTCAGTCGCTCAAGTGTGCGAAAAATGTTATTATACAAGCCGTAAGACAAGACACGCGAATGTCATGTGTAATTCTCTGTTTAGATTTGCATATTGTAAGAAGGGCAAGGTTGGTGTATGTCGTTTAGGGATGTGTGAGTGAGTATAAGTACGAAAGCAGATAAGAGAATATTGCTATTGAGCATGAGAATAATGACGATAAAGCAGAGACTTTTGCTATATATTATAATGTTTCTTACGAAACTTTCTATCGATATTATTCTATATTATCTCTCGCTAGTACTACTTTATGCTTAATAATGATTATACTTTTTTTTTTTTTTTTTTGGATTTGGATGTCGTCATCATATAACAAAGATGCTCATAGATCACGTGCATTGGTAATTATAATTTATTATCGTAGGCAAAGCGTATTTATTATTCCAAATTTTTGCTTTAAACGTGTTAATTATAAAGCACCAAAGAGTTTAATTATGAGCAATAATATAGTTAATTTGCGTGCAAACAAAATTAAATAATCATTTTAATTTAAAGAAATCATCTTAAATTAATAGTACTGACGGATTAATTAAAACATATACATATCTATTAATTGCCAATGTGAAAGGAATTTATCTCGTGTATCCAAATATTTGTTCAATAAACTATCATTTAAAATTAAAAATTAAAAAAAAAAAAAAAAAAAAAAAAAAAAAAAAAAAAAAAAAAATCAGTCGGTCTGTTTAAGTATGTTTAGCGGATGCTGCTTACATTCCAAATTAATGTAATTATGCATTATTATATCATTATTGTTCTTAATGTATTTATAAAATCCCTTTCGTTTGCATTATCGAATAGTAAATTCATGATAACTTTATACACCCAATGAAAAATGCTTAAAATAAAATTTTGTCAAGCAACTTCAATAGAATAAGACTCTACATAAGATTAAATGTACAACGGGCACTTTTGCTTAGAAGGAGAAACTGTCTAGGCGCTAGGTCAGTTGATTTTAATCTCTTCTCGGGGGAATTTCACCACGACACGAGGGTTGCACGCTGGCTTTTGAAATTTCTTGATATCTTATTTTCCAAATGACCTCAACCTCGATTCCTGAAAATAATCGTTAAGATAGTAGATTCATTGGTTCTCTAGCTTTGCCTTTTTTTTTTTTTTTTTTTTTTTCCCCCTTAACTTTTTACTATTTTGGTATTTTATTATTTCATTAATTTATTTTCTAAAATTTCTTCCTCCTTTTATGTGTAAAATTTCTTATCTTCCGAAACACCTCATTCCACCGCAGCCTTAATTAATTAAAATGATTTATTTACATAGGCAAAAGTGCAAAAATTAATTTTATGTGATTGGAAATATTCTCGTTTATTGGAATTTGCTCAAATATAATGAAATTTTATGATTTTAACATTATCAGTGCGAATGATTTATTTTACGGCTGTAATAAAAAAAAAAAAAAAAAAAAAAAAAAAAAAAAAAAAATTAATATAATATCGAACAATGATAAAAGTGATAGATAATGTACAATTCTATAGCACGAAAATTATTTTATTTTCGAATGAAAAAAAAGTCTTTAATATGGATAATATTTAGAACTGGAATTCTCTGGCTGTCGTACTTTTATTCCCGACACTGTCACTCCTTCTTTTTTCTCTCTTGTAATTAAATATGTACTCTGTTTATCCTCTTCTTACTTTTCTCCTATCGTCTTTTTCTTTTCTCATTTCATATTTACATTGGCACTTAAGATAGGATTTATAACTGTAAGTTTTCCTTAACTTATCTATATTATATATCGAGTATTTTCTTACCATTTTCTCAATTTCTCCTACTTCTATATCTTTTCTATCGATCAAAGATTAATAAATGCCAACAATGTGTTAAATGATATGTTAAGAATTTTTCTTCGTACGGATAAGTACGGATATATAATTGTATCGATAACATTTCAAATTGAAATTATAAAAAACAAGATTAAAAAAAAAAAAAAAAAAAAAAAAAAAAAAAAGAAATAATTGTCGAATGAGAGGGGTAAAGAAAAACGAGCTAAAATGCATCTATTGAATGAAATTAAGTAATATTTCTCTTATAATTATAATATAATATCTTATAAAAATAAAAAAAAAAAAATTTTTTTCGAGATAGATTAACAACCATTGCTAATCATCTCTCATATAAATAAAACAATAATGATGATAAAGGAAAGGAAAACGTAAGCGCTCTATATGTATAAATTAAAATTATAATATAAAGATTTCCGGAGTTTTAATGTAACATAAAGTCATCAAGAATAATTCAAATATGTTTGAAATTATGCAATATATTCCAAGGTAAGGTAATGTAGTTAATAACATTTATTAATTGTTATGTGAGTCAAAAACTCGAATCAGATTCAATTCTTGAAAATACTATTAGAATTAGAATAGAAACTATGCTCGTAAATATAAATATACGAATATTTTTCAAATAATGAATTTTATTTACTAAGTGTAAATGATTCGGCACATTACATTTATTTACTATATACATGTATAAACATGTATATATGAATATGTTTATAAGTATTTTGTAATATACAATGACAATATCACTATCGATTATGAAACTTATGTAATTATATTAAATTTTATCTAAATCTCATAGTCTAAAATAAATGTATTTATAAATCAATCAAAAATATTTGAATTAAAATGGTAAGTTGAGATTATATAGTTGGATGTTCATTCGTGGGATTTGTGAAACATCATTTAGACAGTGGAGCAGTTGTGCCGCCATAAAAAATTTAATGCGCAATAGCAGTTATAAAATTTGTGATAAGACTAGATGAATGCCTTCGTTACGTTATTATCAAAGTTTCCGTATATTAATAATTATAGAGAGTTGGTTGACTTAAAAGGCTGGATGGTCCTTTCCTACTGTAAATACTGCCGTGAAGTATTGGGAAAAAATTTTGCCTATGTATTGTTCCTCTTTTAAGGGCCAAAAACCTTCTAAAAATCCAATATGACCGCCTCTTGACGTCACGATCATAGCGACATTCTTCGATGCACTGACTTCTTTGAGCGGTATGGCTGTAACATTTTATTAATTATTTCATTTTTTTTTTCTTTCTTTCTTATCCTTTTTTTTTTTTTTTTTTTTTTTTTTTTTTTTTTTTTTTTTTTTTTTTTCTACATGAGCACGCGCGCGCGCTCTCTCTCACGCATATATACGTAAAGAATTGAATGATGTAAAGAATTAGCGTATGTTTTTTGCGTGCAAATTGACTATGTGATGATTAATTAATTTTCTTCCTACCTTGCAAAGGTTGAAATGGATCGTCCGCGGCGCTTAGGCAGAGTAAAGGTACTTCGACAAGATGCAATTTATTATGAAGTGTTGCTTTAGAATAATAATGATATGCATCTCTATAGCCAAAGTGACGTGATGTGAAATTTTCATCGAATTCTCGGACAGTTTTACTCTGTAAATATTTTATTTACATTAGAAAAGAGAAAGAGAAAATGAAATTTTTTTCATCGCTAGATTGAAAATTATATAAATTACCTTATACACTTCCTTTAAGTCTAATTCAGGGAAGACCTTATCGACAACATGGCTTTTTAATATTCTTTGCAAATTATCACAGAGATATTTATTCAACATTAGGTTTAAAAATGGCTTTTCAATGCTTTTGGTTGCCTCAAAAATATTCATCGGTACTGATATAATCAAGGCTGCTTTTAGCTTTCCAATCGCATTTCTGCCATATTGTGCCAAGTAGTTTCCGAGCAATAACCTGAATAAACGAAACAAGCCAATTGATAATAATTTTATTACAAATATTTAATTATCTAAGAACTTACCCTCCCATAGATATCCCCGTCGCTGCTACAGAAATGTGCGGATTGAGTTTTTTTACATGATCGATAACCTCTGCAAGATCTTCGCAACTGGATGCACAATATAACTTTGGTGTCTATATATATATACGCACACACACACAAACACATACATATATATATATATGCACATATACATACACATTTTTTTTTTTTTTTTTTTTTTTTTTTTTTTTTTTTTTTTTTAAGCGAAATAATATAGAATATCGATTACCGAGCTTTAATAATAATAATTTTCTATTTTATTTATTTTAAAACTGCTGGCTATTATATTTTATTGTTGCGCAGGTTAAAACGATGAAACGAGCATATTTAAAAGTTTGAGATTTTAAAGTAAAAAATTGAAAACTCTTGCATAATAAACGATTTATTAACTTTCATCGCATAATATTTTGCAACTGGCAATAATTCTTATTTTTAGTAATATTGTTCAGAATTTTAAAGATACAATTTTTTGTTTCGTTTCGTTTCAAATGATATTTTAATAATTATTATTCAATGATAATTATGATTAATGTATTATCGTTATCGTTTTGTCTTCTTTAGCTTGATAAAGTAAATCCTAATGGGCCTGTTTGTAAAACGCAACAAGTTAATCGAATTTTTCATATTTTTCTTTGAATAGATAATAAGTACAGACACGGTGGCCCATATAAAATCTCTTGCAACTTACATTTATTTGTAATGATTGTACAATTGCAGTTGCACTATGCGTATCGAGTCTGCTTCTTTTAATTGCATTTATATTAATGTAAGCTGAATACGAGTATTACGAGTTTGCATTTTACCTTAATTTTTACGCCACCCATGCCTCTGTAATTAAATATCACACATTTCATGCCCGAATTTTTGGCCCCGTACACAAGGCATTTAATATATTCGGCTTGACTGGCACCTGTTAGACCAGGTAAAATAATAACGATTGGCGACATTGCATTTGAATTTTCTTCTGCCCAGTCTAAAGCCACTTCGCCACCATCCGACAAAGTTAATATTTCCCTGAAAGAATCATTTGCCCCGTTTATTGTATCGTCGAAGCATATTATTCTATCATCATTTTTCATTTTGGCCTTTACTTTCTAATTACAAGAAATAATCACAAGTACCTTCGATATTTCACATGTGGTAATATTCGTGCACGTATAACACTTGCGAATATTGTTTGTGCCCGAGATTCGAAACACCATAATGTCGGCCAGAATTTGCTTTTAAGAATCGGTAGATTTGCCGATAAAAAGTCACTAAATGGACCTTTTGCACAAACGAATATTGGTATCTGTAAAAGAGAAAATTTCATCACTGATGAAACATAAAATAATAAATTCAAATAAAATTACATATTAAATACCATTTATTACCAAGTTTTTATCGCGTAACTTTAGCATTATCAATGGCAAAACAAAAAGAAAAAAAAAAAAAAAAAAACTAATTCATTACTTTATTATAAATTATTGGACAGACGAATTGTCATTTATTAAGTAAATTATTAACACTAGTTTAATAAATAAAAGAAAATATGTCGATATAAAAATTAGTATTTGAAAACTTATATTCTCATTTATGTCTTATAAGATTTAGAAAGCACACTATACGTAATATAGATACTTTGACCTTACAAGACCTCATTTTTATGACATACTCTTACTATACTTCGACGTGGAATAATATACTTTTATTAAACGATAGCTTTTATTTTTCAAAAATTCAATTAATGACCTACAAATTTCTACACAACGACAATGAAAAATAATTATCCAATATTGAAAAAAATTTCTTCTTTCTTTTATCAATAAATTCATATTTACAAATTCATTTTTTATATTCTCTATTACGACTATTGTAAAAGATTGGAATAAATGTTGAAATGTTTAGTCATTCGTTTTAACGTTACTTTTACTAAGTGGAGCTTTTTATCTCTCAATTCATTTGTTCACATTCAAGCTTATAAAAACCTAAACATAATTTCGTACGATTTTTTCAGAAAAATAATCTACCCTTTATGTATAAGTGTTTATTTAAAAAAATAATTTATTCACGATACTAGTTACGGTTTTTATAAAAGCTCAACCATAAATTTATCCGTAATTTACCTCGCATAAATTGTCCAATAAGCCATTTATTCCACGTATAAACTAATTCTAAATTTATATATATATATATATATATATATATATATATATATTTGTTATTATATTTGTAATATTAATAACGCATTGTCATACTGATTACCTTTATATTATAATATTTTTCTTTGCTAATACAATTCTATTGCGTAAGAGATATTCCTCATCCAATATGCGATATATGCTTTGCAGGTTATCTCTATGACCTTTTACAAGCCATGTATTTTCAATAATATATATAATAATAATTAAGAATTTATTTTTAATGGCGTTAATTATAATTTAATAATTAAAATAAACTGTTTTATTTATTTATAATAATATAATTAATAAAGTAGAATAATGCTAGAGGTAAAATTTTATAAATTTCCTCGCGATTTCATGCTCTCAATATCCATATTCATTTAACTAATAATCTATTAATAAACAATCAAAATTTAATTAAAATATTCATTCATTTTTTTTAAAAAATTTCATTTACTATGTATTCGCTAACCAATTATAATAATTATATGTCAAATTTGCTGATATTAAAGTAAACAGACTATCAAAATGTTTATAATTTATTGCATAAAATTTTATCGGATTGCTAATAATATTTATTTTTTTTAATATTGCGACATTTCTTTGTGTGCGCGCTAAATGTATCTGTTTGTTACAATTTATCCGTAAATTATAACTACTACTTTTCAACATTATTATCAACAATTTATAATGGATATTTTCTTATATTGTTTCATAAAAAAAAAAAAAAAAAAAAAAAAAAAAAAATAAATTAATAGGATAATTAAATTTATTAAATCTTATTAAATCTTATTCGTCGTTTTATAAATCTTTTATTATCGCGTTAGGGAAATTCAAGTCAATTAAATATTAATAAAAAATATTACGATTAATCTTGGAAATTTTATTTTCATAAGATATTCTTTAAATATATTTGATTTCATTTATTTGATGCTCATGGTTTCATTGTGTTTAGCTGAAAAAATATTAGACTTTCAATATTATTAAGTTATAAATCGTCTTATTTATGATAATTTTAATTGAATAAAATATCTGTGGATAAAAAAAATTTTAAATTATAAAATCTATAATTGCCGTTAAAAATCATTTCTGCTTTAAATAGTCGATTTAACTTTTGCAGATTATAAACTTGAGATAAAGGTTATTTTCATTGCGTAAAAACGGTAAATAATAAAAGTTTTCTTTCTTTGTTAAAGGAGCCAGCAATCGATGGCATAGTAAATGTTTATAGAACTTTCCCTATGTAGTTTTCAAACATGGATGCAATGAATTCTTTTCTAAATGATTTTTAATAAGTTATGACAAATTCTTATGATGTTGTTGTCAATTATCAGATTCTAAATTGTGTAATAATTAAAGTATAAAATTATTTGATTAATTTACAAATATAAATAGTTTTTCATGTAATAATGTAATATTTGTAAATTCGATTTCTTGTAATTTATAACTGATTTTATATATCAATCAAAGCGGAAATAAACAATTTTTTCCTTTTTTTGCATAATTCTAATTTTTGTTTTTGTTTTTTTTTTTTCTATACAAATACTATTATCTAATAACGCGAAGAAGAATATTATAGTTTGTCATTAAAATATTAAATAAGTTTTTTATAAACGGAAGACGATAATTCAAATCTGGTTTATGTTAAAAAAAAAAACAAAAACAAAAACAAAAACAATAATAATAATAATAATAATAATAATAATATTGATATATAGATAGACGCATATATGCATATTTATGTATAAAGTGCGTAATAAAAGGGTCAAGTGATATTTTTATGTAAATATGACACAGTCATTGAAGCATCGACGGGTAATTGAAATTTAATCAATTGTTCGACTTGTTTCAAACGAAAGCCATGTGTAAAGCATAAATGTAAATTATATTTTGTTGTATTTTTTATAGTTTATATACATGTTCGGAAAATGAATAAATTTTTTAATTTATTTTCGAGGAGAAAAATGTATTAATATTTGACTCACGGAAATCTACTTTAATCGCCATTTATTTTAAATATTCTCGAGCCTTAGCATAATGATTTGGTGTTTATGGGATGATATTTAAAAAAAAAAAATATCTATAATTAGAATGATTAGATTGCGAATGGGTATATAACTTTTTCCCGAAATCAGCGAGCATGTGTATGAAATTTTGTGCAATCCCGTCCGTTTTTAATCGGCAAGTGAATTTAGTGAATGTTGTCGGGCGAAAATTTAGGATATTATGCCCGATAACAGTTAAGTTAAGCTCGAAGCGATTCCTGTGATATAGCTCGAGTAAAAACCTACGTATATTCTTAAAGGAGCGACGTGTGTGTATAATCTTGTTTAATTCCTTCTTATACATTTATTGAATTGACGAAGGACGTAGAGTTAAGTTAATGTCATTAGAGTACATTAGTCAATAAAAGTACATGTTGCGCATTAACGACAGCCAACATCGACGAGTGAGGCCGGAGAGACTTTTGAATTTTTGCATTTGATAATGAAAGTGTCTTTAAGACGTCGTGGTCGCGTTTTAATGTAACAAAAGAATGTCGAGATCGGCAAGAGTGAGAGTCGAGGTGCCCATAATGTGCCACGCACGTACCAATGAATAATAAGCGCTTGGACTGTTTGGAAGGAAGAAAGGACGGGAGAGCTAGGTAGCCCAGGCCTAGGGCTTGAGTCTCGATACCGGGATCGGCGACTGACCTTCACCACCTCGAAGAAGTAATAAGCGCAGAATCCGAGGCCGAATAGGGCGCCGCAGCAAAACTGGGGCACGCAGAGAGCGGATTCGAGGAAGTCGAGCGGCATGATGGCCCAGAGCCCGTCCATGGGTGGGCAGCCGAGACAGAGCAGCGGCCTCGTCAATGAGATCGAAGGGACGAGACTCGCATCGCCCTCGAGCTCCTCGCGACAACTGTGTCAGCGTCGCGACGCTGTCTGTCTCGACGACCGCGTGTCCGTTGCGACCAACCCCATCTGACGTGCGTCCGCGACTCTCCCGAGGAGGATGGAAGCCTGCCGAGCGGCTCGATAAGGGCCTGTAAGATAGAAGAGGTCTCGAGTCGCGTGACCTTCATGCCGCTCTAAACCCAACTTGCCGACTCGCCGTTACGTACGATTCGCTCGCAATTGCTCCCTTCGAACTCCCGTTCCTTTCCTGGCCATTGGGTCAAGCCATGGGCGTGTGCCTTTCTCTCTGCTCCACGCGCATTTATTCTTTTACATTTTTGAGCCAGCCGATGAAATATCGCCTGATTTCTCGATCCGTGCGATGCGTGCAATCGCGTGTAATATCAAAAAGAAGAAAAAAAGAAGAAAAAAAGAAGAAAATAAATAAGAAAAAAAATAAGAAAAAAATGAGAAAAAAAAAAATAAGAAAAAAATGAGAAAAAAAAAAATAAGAAAAAAATGAGAAAAAAAAAAAAAAAAAAAGAAAAAAAGAAGAAAATAAATAAGAAAAAAAATAAGAAAAAAATGAGAAAAAAAAAAAATAAGAAAAGACAAAAAAAATCAATGCCGCGGACTTATGGATCTGTATAATCGAGTACGCCGACTCGGGCTTTGCCGTATTCGTCTCATTCGTTTGAAGTTTGTTCGATCGATACTACCGACCGTTAATCCTAGCCTCCTCTCTTTATCTTATAATTTTAATTATTTTCCAATTTTATAATGAAATCGTATATTCGCGTTACGCGTTACTCTCCATTTTATGAGCGTCTGTCGTCTACTGCGCACGCGCGCATAATTTACGTAAATTTTAAAATGAATTGACAACAGGCTGATTTAACAAATTTATTAAAATTCCACCCACGTACAGTGAATTATAATCTTTACGTTGATAACACAAATTAATTCACAAATTTTTCTCATGCACCTACGAGAATACAAAATACAAAATTTCTTATCTTTGGCAATTTGAACGTAAAGATAAATTTAGAATGTGAGTAGCGCTGGTCACAAAGCATATATCTCTAGATTAATAAAGAACATGCAAGATTAATTTTTTTTTTTCTGCAATTAGTTTTGGTTATCAAATTATTTGCATTTTCACTTACTAAGTTAGTAGCGTAAGGTTCAATAAAAATTTGGGAAGCCTCGTTACGATGACAGTTGGAAAAGGCTTTTATCAGAAAAAACATGAACAATATATGACATGATCAGAATAATATTTCATTTTAATCCTTTTCTTAAATCTCTATGATTATTTTATATTACGCAATGGACGTATTTTAAGATAATTACATGGTGGACGTAACTAACAGTACTCGCGTGTATATCATTTGTAAAATCGCTACATATTACTTAAATTTGAATTATCGATATAATTGAATTTTGACATTATAACTAATTAATTTTCTTAATTTACGTCCTATTCTTTTCTTATCGTTCCCACAGAATCTCAATAATATTTAAATGCTAATAATACTCAAATATTATTATGATGGGAATGCATAATATACTCATTAATATCATGAACATCTCGCACATTAGACATTAATCATTTTATTTCAGGCACTTAATTTACTTAAGCAAAAGGGATATTATTAACACAATGTATGATATATAAAATGTTTTACAATATGATTTATACATTATAAAATATTGTACATAAATACAATCGCATATGATATATTAAATATAAAAATATACAAAGTATTTAAATAAATAATGAATTATAAAACGGATGATTCGTATCGTGTTATTAGATGACGATTGGGAAGAATTTGCGATTGATAAACTTACTTGAAATCAGAGAGTTTAAAAATTAAATTAAAGATTGACGGGCGACGGATACGCCCTAATACTTCGAACGTACCAAATAGGCAGAAAGAGAAAAATCCAAATATTATTAGCAAGTTAAAGGCTCTTTTGATCATTTGAAAAAATTGCATTGAAAAATTGTGAAAAAATTTTGCCAATATACTGTTCTTCTTTCACTGGCCAAATGCCTTCCAGAAAGCCGATGTGACCACCTCGTGAAGTCACAATCATCGCCACGTGCTTCGTTTCGACTACTTTTTGCAAAGGTATTGCTGGAAAAGAAAATCTCTACTTAATGCGTCATATTGTACTTTTATCTCAATAGAAATTTGACATTATCTTCTTAATCTTAATTGCATTATTTTGGTAAATTCAATTATTTGTTATTAGTCATTTTGAAAGAGTTTTTCTTTTTTTTTATTTTTCAAGGAAATTTCATGGTAATATCAATTTCAACGTATTAGAATAGAAATTCTGTAAAATTTTTGAAAATCATGCCTTTAAAACAGATACAAAAATATAATATACTATATATAATATTTTAATTTTAAATTCGGTCATTAATTTTGGCTAATCTAAAATTTCCACTAAAATGCTAACTTTTTAGCACAACTTTTTAAAGTTATATATATATATATATATATATACTATATATATATATAGTAAAGGATAGACATTTATCGATGTGTGAATATGGTTGATACGTTAGAACATCTTCTCCAGGTCGGTATTGCATATCCAATTACAGTAATGCATCTTCTTGTTATTATTTTTACGTATCTGCAGTAGATTGGAAGTGAGAGCGTTACCTTCTATAGGTTGAAATGGATCATCCGCTGCACTCAAGCAAAGCAAGGGAACTTTTATTCGATGTAATTTATTATGAAGAGTTGCGTTTGAATAATAATCTTCCACGTCTTTGTATCCAAAATGCTTTGATGTAAAATAATCATCAAATTCTCGAACTGTTTGACTCTGCAAAAGGTCATGAATATTTATTCACTTTCGTACTTACTATACTTTATACTATGTATTATAATTAATATAATGTTCATAAATAATATAAATATTTGAATGGTTGAACATGCCCTTTGCTAAATATCAAATTGTTTCGCTAATTACTATAAAATGTTTTACAATCGATCAATAATAGAATATTTATTCGCATTTAATAATCCAACGAATGCATAAGAACAGAAATATATATTAGATGTTGAAATGTATAATCGATATGAAATTAAAGACTGTATCCTCTTGCCTGCATCCGCTATTAAAATAATTATTAATTATAATTATAATTTATCTATTTAATCGTTCACACGCGCGCGCGCGCGCGCGCGCGCACACACACACACGATGTGTATATAAGCAATTTCTTGAAATCTTACACATAATGCAGTGAGTTGTTAATTGCAAAACTGACGCATGAATTCTTAACAACATATCTCATTATAAGTATTGCACTTACGATTATAAGTATTGAACTGATGAATCAGTACATTAGAATAATAGAAATAAACAAATGAATTTTCTCACTTTTCAATTAATTATGAATTTTGAAATTGATTTTTATTGACAAAAATTTTATTCTTACAAATTATGCATATTATATTAGATTACAACCGGTTACTTTCAATTTATCTAATAAATTAAAAAATTTTGATTATATTTTATGCAATGTACCGTAATAAAAGTAATAAAAAAGCTAAATTAAAAGTAAAAAACAAGATTAGATATAATTTGTGAAAATATTTTGAAAATAAATGGAAATTTTATGTATTGTTATTGGTAGTGTGAAATATTTTTAATTAAAAATTTTCTCTTTTGTATTTAGTATTTACATACTCATTGTTAAGTTTCTGTTGATTTCATTGTCCCCCCCCCCTCCCCCCTTCCCCACCCCCGCCCCAACTTTGCACAAGAACGAAACGAGCGTATCGCTTATTTATCGACCCATCGCTGCATCAACTCATTATTGCTAATAAAAACACGTTAAAAAATGAAAAATACAAATAATAAAATTATGAGAATTAATCTTTTTATAATTGTGTTAAATAATAGATAATCAATCACCCAGTGATAATAAAAAGTTTGCTTCGAGTCAATATTTTCAGCCACGGTAATATTTTAGATCGCACAACAGTTGCATTTCATTGCACATTGTGTAGTGAAATTTTCTTAAACATTTGAAATGATATTTGAATTATTTACCTTCAGTACGGTATCCAAATCTAAATTTAATTGCTCCTTGTCTTCGCTGAAGTGATGCTTCACATTCCGTCGGAGATTACTACAAAGGTGTTTATTTAACATTAAATTCAAATAAGGTTTTTCAATACTTTTTGTTGCCTCGAAGACATTCCATGGTACGGAAATGGCATATCCGGCTTTCAGTTTTCCAATTGCAGCTTTTCCGTATTGAGCCAAATAATTGCCGAGAATTAATCTGCCAATCAATTAGAAGAAAATAAAAATTTACTTTATTACCGTAAAACTTTATCCAATGAATTCTGCTGGCATTTTATTTATTCAATTATTTTATCTTCTTCTTCTTCTTTTATTTTTTTTTTTTTTATTTTTTTTTTATTTTTTTTTTATTTGTTTGTTTGTTTTTTGCTCTTTTCTTTTTGCCACGAAGGATTAGGGCTTTAATTTAAATTACCGAATCTCTTCGCCTTCATAAAGCAATTACAACAGATTCTTCATATTAATATACGAAAGTTAATAATGATTGTTATAATTAAGGTGCTTAAAGTAGAGCCAGAAGAAATGTAAATTAACAAATGAGTGCTTGAGAAAGCTGCTAATTATCGGGGGTAGTACGTTGGTAATTGCGCAATATTCAAGACTCACTTTTTCAATGATATAATCCAAGCTCTTGTTTAATGTGAAATATACTTGAATGGCCGGACTCAACTTATTAATAGATTAAAATGGCTTACGTAGAGCCAGTATTAGCCGATGGTATAGACTTTTGGTTAAAAGTCGGGGATTTTGAAGTAGAGGTTGCGCGAAAAGACTTAAAATAAATGGTCGCGTTAAAATTTTATCAGGAAAAGTCGGCAGCATCTAATAAAGCAACTTGTTCCATTGGGAATTCCATCCCACGCGGATCAAAATCGCGCGATGAAAGTCATAAAATTCGAGCATAATTCCCGATGATGCAATAACGCCTATTGGTAACGCTACGTGGTAGCGTGGAGGTAAGGACGAAGTAAGGCGCGCGGGGAGCATCCTAATGCATCGCGCCAATACCGAGAATTCAGATTGATCCCCCAGGTATTTTGGTCAATCACTTAGAGGACTTATATGAAATATAAGCACGTACCCGCCCATTGAAATTCCAGTTGCAGCGATGGGCACGTGCGGGTGAAGTCGCCTTACGTGCTCGATAACTTCAGCCAGATCCTCGCAGTTTGAAGCACAATATAATCTTGGCGTCTATGAGACCAGATGAAATCACAACAATGGCAGTTATTTCAAAAAGTCAATTATTTTTACCTGTATGAGTTTAGTTTTTTCGTTTTTCGTTTTTCGTTTTTCGTTTTTTTTTTTTTTTTTTTTTTTTTTTTTTTTTTTCTATTCATCATCCATTCTCGTTAAGTTTATCGCACACGTTGCATATCCAGTGCATACCTTGTATTTCCAATTGTTTTCGGAGATGAAATAATAATTATTTATAGATGAACATTGACCGATACTGCATTTCTAAACTACGTAACCAAAGAAAATTTTCGAATTCAGCCGAATAAGACTGGGAAGCGGTGATTTTACGTATACTCTATTCGCTCGCAATTTTATTTTGTTAATATTATGAACATTTATATTGAGTAATTTTTTTTTTTTTTTTTTTCTTTTCTATGTGCATAATTCTATTAATATTATTAATATTAAAATAATATCCATATAATCTATGACCCATAAAAACTTGTATGTACATAAACTCCTCGTATTGTACTTTAATAGTAGTTTGTTTTTCTATTGACCTGCATATATACATTTAGGATAGTCGGATATTAATGAATAATAATAATAATACGTATATTTATTGTTAATATTTATGTTAACGAGTATATATATATATATATATATATATATATATATTACGGCACTTTTTATATTTTTCCGTAGGTAAATAGTATTATTGAATAAACAACTGAACATTTGTCTTTTAAACGAAATCTAATTCTGCTTGTAATAATTGGAGGAACTTTAATAATAAAAATACATGATAAAGATACATAATACGCCTCTCTAATTTTCCATCATCTATCAGTAAATTTATTATAAATTAATAAGTTGAGCGAGGTTTTTATGAGCGAAAATCGAATTTATGGTAAACGATAGGATTGTACCAACAATGAATAGCAAATTCAATAAGTTTGCAATGGGGCACATTCAATCTCCAATATTTTAAGTTTATTTTCATCGAGCACTGACGTTCTATTGAAATGATATATTAGCGATGACAATTTAACTACCAACTCTAAATAAATTCGATTCAAAATATAAAGACTTGCTATAATTTCATATATTGGCCCCGGTATTATGATATATCGATCATTAAATACTTAAAGTATGAATTTTCTTTTGTATTTATAATCAACGACGACAAATCATACGATAATAATTCACGTAAGTAATTCATCATTATTAATTCTGCCAGAATGAAATTATTACTTTGCTCTTAATTTGAAATATAATGGCAAATGTATTCAAATGGTTAAATGCTAATACTGATTTATTGGGACACTTAATTGATTCGAAGTTAAGAATTACAATTAAAATTGCAAATAAAATAACAAGTTTAATACAAGTTGAGGATTAACAGTGCCTCTCGGATCTTCTTCCCTTTCAATTTCATAACGCGCAAGTCGTTCGTATTCTCGGAGCTAAATATCGAAAAGTAATTTAAAACGAATATAAATGTTGGCGCATAATTTAATGTTAAAATTATTGAAAAATCAATGCTGCATTCGTACCTTTAGTTTCATGCCACCTAAGCCCCTATTATTAAATATAACGCATTTGATGCCGACATTTTTTGCTGCATAGACGAGGCACTTTATATATTCTGCTTGGCTAGCCCCCGTCAATCCTGGCAAGATTATCACGATCGGCGACGTGGAGCAACAATTATGTTCCGCCCAGTCCAATGCCACCTCACCGCCATCCGCCAGAGTCAAGATTTCTCTGAAAATATTCAATCCTAATATCACACACACACGCGCACACACACACTCTCTCTCTCTCTCTCTCTCTCTCTCTCTCTCTCTCTCTCTCTCTATCTATCTATCTATCTATCTATCTATCTATCTACCTAAATCCTAGTCTTTCCATATACGAAAGACTTTATAATGGCGATAATGTTAAGATTAAAACTTTCGGAAAATCTCACTTTCTTTCACCTCATTTATTTATAACGGATAAACATAATTTTTTTATATAACATGTTCTTTACTATACTACGCGATACTTTAACACGTGCGTAAAGCTATTCATAAGATATAAAAATATATTACAACTATTGTTATAATAATCTTGCTATTAAATTTAATTAACTGGTAATTGGCACAAGAAGGAATTAAATTTGACAATTAATTACCAATTTCTTTCGTTTTTATTTATTCGACAAAATTATCTATAACATGTATTAAATGAAAGAAACAATTTTAAGCGTAAAAACGTTGTCTAACATTTTCCTATAAATAGGAATTAAAATTCATTACTACTATTTAAAAGAATAAAAAATAATAATAATAATAAAAACGAAGAGATTTCAAGTGATAATTAATAATTTTCGAGTAAACGTAGAAGACAAATGAAGGAAACTAATGTAATAGTCATCCAATAAATCCTATGTATATAAAATTTCATGTAAATCAATAATTAACATATTGCCAATGTAAATATTTTCATTTTTATTACATAAGCGCTCATTAATTATATCTCGTAATTAAATTTTTATTATTTTAATATGTTATTTGATTTTATAATTTTAAGTTAATTTAGAAAATATGACTATTAATTACACTTATGATTGAAGAACAATATAATTTTGATTTACAATCAAATTACTTAATACTCTTGTACTTCAATTATATTATATAATGATATCGTATTAATAAAAAATTGATTCTTCAAAGGGTTTTTTTTTCATTTTTTTTCTTTTTTTTATTCCTTTAAATAGTACTAATGAATTTTAATTCCTATTTATAGGAAAATGTTAGACAACGTTTTTACGCTTAAAATTTTTTCTTAACTGTTCATTTTGAAACTCATTCTTTTTGAAAGATTCGATATAATCTTCGATTATTTTTGTCCAGTGTCTGGTCTGTCGTATAATCAAGGAAAAACAACAAGATTAATTAAAATTTTAAATATAAATATAAATATAAATATGTCATTTTATCATGTTTACAAACAATTAATTGTATGATATTGTAAAATTTATCAATAATTCTTCATTAACTTTAGTATCAAAATTATAATCTTTATTTATTAGACATAATAATATTGCTTAATATGTAGAATGTTTGAAAAAGCTTATAATTCGAAATCTTATTCAATAACAATTTTAAATATCAGGATTTTTAATCGGCTATAAATATTTTTGAAATTCGAATGAAATCGAATAAATCGTTAAATTGTAAAAAAAAAAAAAAAAGTCCTTAAACTTAAATTAAAATATTAATTTTCCTAACCATACATACATATTTATTTGTTTATTTGCAAGTTTCTCACAATAATTTATCACCAGTTTGAATGCTACTAATTAATCGATTATTCAACACATATATACGGGTTACTTTTTAATTAACCACAATTTATACGTTTATAAAATAATTTAAATTTAATATTTTTTTTACCCCGTAATGGTAGCTAAAATTATTAACGGTAACGAGCTAATGCATACATACATTACATTGCATGTAATTACGTATATTTGGAGATATTTAGAATCGGTAATGTTGAATTTGAATATTCACTGAAGCAAATTTTATTAATGAAAAATCATGCTTTATATTATATGATAAGCAGTATCTATTGTTAATAATAATTCAAATGCATGTATAAGCAAGAGTTAAATTAAACGACAGTGACCTTCGAGGCTATGCATGAATTTTCTGTCTAGTATAATTTGAATAATATTATATGTAATATTGATTTACTAATTTTACTAATTAATTTATATGGTAATTCGTATGTTGCGGTGGTGTACAGAAATAGTCGCATAAATTCTTAAATCAAAATAAATTAATTATAAAGAAATTTATTTTTAAATGCAAATTCATAAGAGATAAGAGTTTAAAAAATATTTATGTTGTGCATGTAGCCTTGCGTGTAGGTATGTAAGCCGTATAATTGATATATATATATATATATATGTTCATATTTAAATAATTAATTTTAAATTTAATTGAATACCACGCTTGTTTAATTAGCATTAAAGGTTTTGAAAAATTTGTGAAAAAAAAAATATTCAATAAAAATTCTCTTTGTCAAGTCTCAAGTTTTGCATTTTAAAATTTTCTATATTATTTCATTACAATTGTAAAAAGTGCTTTTGCTTGTGTAATTTATTTATTTGCACTGAACGGAATAATTCCTAATGATATACCTCATTATTTGTGCATTTAATTGCTTTCATTTTATATAGATCAAAAACAAAAAAAAATGTAACAAAAACAATAAAAAATAAGCTACACTTGATAAATATTTATTAAACACTCGTATATTATAGTTAAAAACAATGTTATAAAGTTCAACATAAATTTCAATCGATATTACAAAAAATGTTCAATTGAAAAATGTGTATTAATTTTATACATTTAAAATAAAATATAAGACTGTGAGTGAACGTGTAATAGAACATCGACTGTCTCGCTCATTAATTACGAAGCAAATTTTAAATCAAATTAAAAACAATTTATATTCTTATTTAACGTTAGTATATGTTCGTAATATTTAGTATCTAATTATAAAAATGTCATTATATATTTATACTTATAAGAGTACAAAGGGCTTACGAAATTTGTTTATAAAAACTCTTCGGTTTTTTCTTTCTTCTTCTTTTTTTTTTTTTTTTTTTATTTTGTACGAACCTGCGGTACTGAATATACGTCCATAATCGCGATCGAAGCAAACTTGCAAATACAGTTTGTGCTCTTGATTCAAAACACCAAAGTGTCGGCCAAAATTTATATTTTAGAATCGGCACATTGTCATCGAGAAAATTTCTAAATGGTCCTTTCCCACAAACTAATAATGGCGCCTGTAATAAAAATGCTAATATCATGTATTTATTTAATAAGTGTACAGTATTTCAATTACCTCTTATAATACGCTCTTGATCATTATTTTTTTATTAATTACATTATTAAAGTCTTATATGACTCTTATTATTATCAATACAAATGTATTATATTAAATTATATGTATATATGGAAAATTTGATGTGTAAATATAATTAAATTGAAAGAGTCAGAATTTGTATTGTTAACATTTGCTTAACGTTATGCCTATTTTCATTATAAAAAAATTAATTTTTTTGTTTCGATTATGATTATTTAATCATTTTAACGATAAATGATGTGTTTAATAAAAAATTAAGAGATTAATTTTGTTTATTATTAATCACAATTAGTAATAATTATTGATTGATTGATATTTATTGAAAAAATTATGAAAATATATGAACGTTGAAGGTAATTACAATACATTAAGTGAGTTTTGTCCTTCGAATGAATGAAACGAAAAATATTAATAGATAATTCAAATTTTGTCAGCATTTCAATATTAATACTATAATAATACGAAATTGACGTGTAAGTAATTTAAACATTTATTTAATATTACTTTTCCTATTAATTTAAAATTATAATCAAAGTTCAATAATATTCTCATAATTCAATATCTCTCATAATAATTAATATAATATTCGCCAAACGACATCTTACCCAGCAAAAAATTACAGGCATCGTTAAAAATGTTGTAAATTAACAGGACTAAATTAATAATAATGTGAAACTGTGGCATATCTATAAATAAAGTATAATCCAATCGAATTATAAATTGATTTCGTTCGTTCAAAATAAAATATTTAATTAGCACAATGCTAACAATATGTAGCGAAAAATAAAATATTTATTTGAATTTTTCGTTGAAATTAGATTAGATTTTCAGATGGAGATATAAGATTTTGTCAAAAATGAAAATATACCGATTTTACTGGATTTTCAATTTAATTTTCGATTTTTGAGAGAAATCACAATTCATAATCTCATCTCATAATTAAATTAGGAACTTTTTATATTGCTAGATAAATATTTCGACTAGTCGACTTGACATCATGAAGCTGATTTGTATTTTTCTTGTTGTTGTTGTAATTTTTAGAAATTATTGTATTCCTTTAATTAAAATATCGGATTAAGTATTAAAGTTCCTATACACTATCTATAATTCATAAAATGCTTATCACTTATTTTTACAAAGGAAATAACAATTTATTAATAACATCAGAATTTAATATATATATATATATATATATATATATTATTCAAGGAATTATGTTTTATATTAATAAATTTTGAAATTCATAATGATATGAATAAGCGATTAAAAATAAACTGTTCTTTAATTGAAATATAAATTACTGAAAAATTTATATCAAGTATTTATTCAAAATATAATATAAATTTAAATAAAAAGAAATTCATTCCGAGGACATTACATCCAGACATTACATATTTACATTTACAAAATGTATTCATAATTCGGTCAAATTAACCCAAGTTGTATTGACTTATACAGCGTAGGAAAATTAAAAAAACAAAACCAATATGATTGGTTTTTAAAAACACGACAAAGATTTTTCATAGCGCTACTCTCTTATCGATTTTCTTATCGACATTAGAGAGAAATATATTTATCCCGTATGTTTATACATATAAGCAATAATAAATAGGAATAAAGTAAATCTTTTGCAGTTTAATTCAATCGACTTTTTAAATAATGGTAGCAAATTTTTAGAAAACTCTTTATCTATCAGGTAAGCGATAAAAATTCATTTGCAATTAAAGTATCCATATTATTAATGATTTTACTTTACTACTAACGAATATTTAGTAATAACGTTTTACTAATAACGAATACGAAACGAATATTTATAGTTACAATAAATCGTGAATTATGATTTCTTTCTGTTTGTACATAAAGAATCTATGAATGCTCTGCAAGTTAATCCATTACGTATGCAAACTCAATTTACCGAATTTTCTCCAATTGCTTCGTTTAACAGAAGAATACTTAGTTTGTTAGTGAAAGTAGTGCACTCTAATGCTTTATAATATGTCAGAAAAGGTATATCGATAAAAATTACTTTACATTAATCTTAATTGGTATTGTCATGTGCATCATATTTTTTTCACGTCGTTTTCAGACAAGGATATTCTTTTTTTTTTTTTTTTTTTTTTTGTTTGTTTTGTTTTGTTTTGTTTTTTTCTTTAATATTCTGTCATTTTACATAATGAGTATATTATCGTAAGCTGGATATTTTTTTACGAAATACTTAAATACTTCACTTTCAATTTTATTTCTCTCTGACATCACGTTACTTAATAATTTTGTATAAAATTTTCTTTTCTTTTTCATATTATTACTGTTGAGTTTCTTTGTCGGGCCCCGTTTGCCGTAATTATCGATTCTATCAATATTATATGTCCTTGTACTCGTTTTTACATATTCATTATGAAATATTTTAATATATTTATAAATAATATCTGATTATTTATTTCTGATACTTTAGAATGTTTACAAGAGGTGATGTAAACTCAACGAGCTGGATATTTCGGACATGAATATCATTTGATAGATTGATATAAATGTGCAAAGATAAATTTTACATTTGTTAACTAATTAAATAAATAAATAATTATAATATAATTATAATAGAATTTGAATTGAATTTTCGATTAACGATATATACTTTCCAAATATATTAGGATTCTCTGGACAGTAATTATAACGTAAATTCAAAATTTACTTGAAATGTATATGTTTATGAAAAATGAACCGAGATATCGCTATATGTGAAATTCATAAATTTTTATTTATTATTAAACAATTTAGCCTTTTTAATAATTCACTTGATGAAGTCGTATGGGAATTAAGTGTAAATTTTGATTATTCTACACCGATAAATTTAAAGTATGCAAAAAATTTCAATATAAATATGACCTTGAATTTCGCTGAAGTAAAAAATTTGTAAAATATTCCGATCGTTTAAAAAGACTGACTGCGCATGACTCACGCACAATGAGAAATAAAAAGAAAAATATTGAAGTAATGATGAGTAATATCAGAACTCTGTTCGTAATATACGTCGCTAAAGAAATCATAAATTAGTCAAATAATCGTTACATTAACTTTGTAAGAAATCGTTATATAGTCAGTAAATAGATCGATAATTTCATTAAAGATCTTACAATTATTATATTTTTTTACAATCAAAATAGTAAGTGCAGATTTTTAATAAATACAAAATAGTATTAATAATTGAATAAGTAAGATTTATTAGTAAATCATTGACAGGTCATTGATAAAATATAATAGTTATAATATAATAGTTCAGTTATAAATTCTATGACATCAATATACTTTTAAGTTACTTTAATCATGAAGTTGAAAAAGAAAGGCTTATAAACTAATAATATAATAAGAAAGCTTATGCAATTCTTATGATCGATGAAAATGATACGAGTAATGAATGTTGTCATTTCTTAAAAATTGCTTATTAATAACAATTAATTTAAACATAATGAGGTATATAATGCAACCTACAAGCTTTTTAAGTAAAATGTAATTCCAACTAACTTCTTGAATGTAACCTATTTATATATATATATATATATATATATATATATATATATATATACAATTTTTATATGCAAAGCTGTAAATATTAAGTTATTATTGTGATTATTTTTTTAATTCAGTTGCAAAAAAAAAATAGACTGGAGAAGGTGTGTGTGCGTGCGTGCGTGCACGTATGCATATAGTGTATAATTGATTAAAATTATTCCATGTATTCAATGTAAACAATTCTAATAAAAATAATAATCTTTAGACTAGTGTATGTAAAATACTAAAGGTTAGAATAGGATTTATTGTTCATTTACTTGTTACAATAAGTATACAATAAGTGTCAAGTGACAGAAATTTACTAAGATTTATCAACAATTAAAAATCTATAAAGTGAGTTTAAATATAAGGAAATAATTAATGATAATTGCATTAAGGTTGAAAAAATTTTTAAATATCATAACCTAATTTCACGTTGAGATACATTTGTAATAAATGAAATAATTAATATTCTAGTAATTGTATTATCTCAAACTTTTAATATTCATAAACATACGTAGAATGTAAAATAAATAAAACAGATTCGGTCAATATCCACTTCATGATGATATCAAGTATTTGAAAAAGACAATAAATATATGATTATAATTTAAAAACTATTTACTACTCGGCACGTCCTTAAAATTCTCTATAATTTTATAATTTTATAATTTTATAATTTTATAATTTTATAATTTTCTAATATCTGTGCAGTTTTGTTAGGAATACTGATTATTCAGAATTAAATATCATTAGAGTTTTCTAAGCTAGTTTCTTAAAGTATAGATAAATGAGCAAATATTAAAAATTATGATAATACTATAAGACATGAAAAGTTTCATAAGAAAGTATAACTACTTTTAATAAACGATAGTAGCTTTTACAATTTATATGAGAATGTAGAAAAATTTAACAAGTTAGTTTTTCCTTAATTAATAGTATGAAATAATTAAATCAAACGCCCAAGTATGATAAAATTTCATAATAGCAATGGCAGACACTATATGTGTGCAATCGTTTATTTAAAATATTCACCATTTAAGAAGGATTAAAAATTGACAATGTTTTATTAAGTTTTTATTATTATTATTATTATTATTATTATTTAATTAAATACAGTAATAGCGCAGTAAAATAAATAATACTTTTTAATGTTGCAGTTGAAGCGGCATAGATGAATTATCTCTTGTAGATTAAATAGTCTAATATAGAAGATAAATTTGGCGTATTGAAATTATAGATATTTAATTAAGTTTATAAAAACAATTTGTATTGCATATTAAAAAGTAATTAATAAATAAATGATATGTAAAACAGAATCTTAAATACTAAATTAAAACGTGCAATAGAAAAATATTGCTTATAGAGCAATGTACGACGCGAGGCAAAATTGGTATGAACGAAACGAAAACA